GGGAGGCGCATCGGAGTGTGCTAATCATTCTTCTTGGACCTCTTGATTTCAAGAGGTTGAATTTATAAGAAACATGACCGACTTCAAAGTTTCCTGCTGGAACTTGAGGACTGATCTGCTTCGATGCAAATCTGCGACTGGCTTTACCATTTGAAGGTTTTGCTCCGTTATGTGGCGGTTGGCTATCGTATACTGTAAAGTTGGTCCCAAGAAAATCAGATCTGCACAAGTAAAAACACAAAAACTTTTGAGCACAACAATCTCGATTTAAAGACAAAATGGCCGCCCAGGATATTCAGTGTTGCAGATATTATACCTTAATTTCCCGACGTAGGCATTACTTCCTTGTGAGAAATCATCAGCATCAAGTGATATGATGTACTCAGTGTAAGCGCCGGTCCTGAACCTCCGTGCCGCCAGAAGGAACTTTCCCTTATCAGTGAATGCTGCTGAACAGAGAATACAAAACGAAATTTATAATATCCCGAGAAAGATCCCATTCTTAACCGAATCAGAACAAACATTTTGCAGCCCAAAAAGGAATTCTGACAGATGACTATAATCGAAAACTATGACGAACACTGCAAAGTTTGCTTTCAACTTTGACGAACACAAGTTGATAATTTTCTACATTATTATTGTATCTCGGGATATTCTTCATTAGAATCCAAGGTCAACAACATAGTCAACGCTTATTAAGGACAATTGGTTATTGTGTTTTTTTCAGTGACCACTCAAAAGATATTAATTGGTGAAAGACTTAAGACAACTCAAAATTCCATGCCTAAGAAGTCACTTATTCAATCCTTTTCACACTTTAAAACCCTACCTAGACTTTTAACCAAAAGTCATCTCTTTCCAATTTTGACCGATTCAACCATCTCTAATTATCAATGATTTGAAATCACTTACATGGTGTTAGAGCAAGATACAAGTAAAAAGTAGACGTCTTCTTGTTCCTCTTTATCAAGCACTGATTCGAAAAGTCTCTTGGACCTGGCTGCATTCCATACGAAACTAAGAAACCTCAAATTTGGAGACTTGAATGTATAAATGTAATCAAAGAGCAAACTTGTTGAAATGGGTTCCACAGAAAGCAATTCAATACACATATAAAACCTAAAGCAAGAACCAAAAACAACTAGTGTACAAGTTTCGATTACAGTTACCATAAAGGATTCCTTCAAACACCATGATCCAAATCAATCAAACTTGACACGAATTCTGATCAATTCGTTAGTTATAACTCAATATTACGCATAGATGAACCAAATTTCATATGTCTCTAATGTGAAGACACAAAAAAACAAACAAAACCCACCATTAAGCAGACAAAATCGATTTCCTAGCTAATCAGAGAACAACGAAACCTAAATCCAAACGATTCATGGAGATTGATCACAGAAACCCTACCAATTTAAGGCAAGAAGGGAAAGTAATTTTGCCAGAGTTACTCGGAGATCTAACAATATCCTGAGTAATCTCTCTCCACTTTTTCGAAACGCAAGCGCAAGTGACTACATCACGACGTTGAGGCCATCGGTCTTCTGTATCCTCGACGCGGCGTACGATCTCGCTCAATAACTCAGGGAGCATCGCAGACCATGAGCCAGTAGACATATCTGACGACGGTGGAAACATTGGGGATGATTCGTGTGAATCGGTTTTGGTTTCCGGTGTCGTCTTCTTCGTCGTCTCTCCTCTCTGATCTCTGAACGAAATCAAGATCCTCCGTGAAAGGAGGGACCGAGACAAAGGCATTTGTGAG